CTCCTGCCTCAGCCTCCCGAGTAGCTGGGACTACAGATGCCCGCCACCACGCCCGGCTGATTTTTGAATTTTCAGTAGAGGCCCGGTCTCACCGTGTTGGCCAGGCTGGTCTCCATCTCTTGACCTCATGATCCACCTGCCCCGGCCTCCCAACGTGCTGCAGTTCCAGGCATGAGCCACTGTGCCCGGCCTGCGGTCTGCTTTTTCTCCCCAGGAAAGTTCCATCAGCAACGCACCAGCCCCCTACGAGACGGGCAGACCCAGACGGGCAGGGCGTCCAGCCTGCTCTCCGCCAGTTAGGATGAGTGGGGCTGGCACCTTCCCAGCAAGCTGTGCACACCTCGGGCCCTGCCAGCCTCACGCCCCAAAAGCGCCTCTCTGTTCTCCCAGAGCAGACCCTGAAGGCGCGTTCTGTTTCTGCCCTGAGTTACTGTGTGTCCTCACGGCCCGGAGCCTCACCCCCTGCGCCCCGGTACCCTGGCAGATAAAGACCCCTTGTGCAGACGTTCCAAGGAGCCCTTGCCCTGCAATACCACACAGACGCATCAAACAGTGAGTTACGGCGGGTGGAAACAGCCGTGATGAAAAGTGTGTCTGTTCTTTGAAAAGATGTGAGTGTATCCTACCCCCAGAGGTCCGCGTGAACAGACTCCGCTGCCCCCACAAATCACAGCGCTGCACACAGAAACGCTGGCGTCCCGGCGAACAAAAATGACTTCACAGAATTCCTGCGTGACAGCGCTCACGTGGCCAAGTACACTTGGATTATTATTATTATTATATATATATATTTTTTAGATACAGTCTCGGTCTGTCGCCCAGGACGGAGTGCGGCGGCGCGATCTCAGCTCACCGCAACCCCCACCTCCTGGGTTCAAGCAATTCTCCAGCCTCAGCCTCCTGAGTAACTGGGATCAGACATGCACACCACCATGCCACACTAATGTTTGTATTTTTAGTAGAGACGGGGTTTTGCCATGTTGCCCAGGCTGGTCTCGAACTCCTGACCTAAAGTGATCCACCCGCCTCGGCCTCCCAAAGTGTTGGAATGACAGGCGTGAGCCACTGCGCCTGACCGTATACTCGGATTTTTATATGCAATCCTGAAACACGAACTGAGTTTAAAATCGTTATGTACACAGCACAGTTTGTGAGTTCTTTAAGCCGGGCGCGGTGGCTCACGCCTGAAATCCCAGAACTTTAGGAGGCAGAGGAAAAACCAGAGGCAGGAAGATGGCTTGAGACCAGCTTGGGCAACACAGCAAGGCTCTGTCTCTATAAACAATAAAATTTAGGGAGGCCAAGGCGGGCGGGTCATCTGAGGTCGGGAGTTCAAGACCAGCCTGACCAACATGGTGAAACCCCGTCTTAAAAAAATAAATAAATAAAATAAAATTTAAAATTAGCCAGGCATGGTGGCAGGTGCCTGCGGTCCCAGGTGCTTGGGAAGCTGAGGTAGGAGAATCGCTTGAGCCAGGGGGTCACGGCTACAATGACCTATGATCACAGCCTGGGTGACACAGCAAGAACCTGCCTCAAACAAACAAAAAAAGTCATTTAGGCCGGGCACAGTGGCTCACGCCTGTAATCCCAGCACTTTGGGAGGCCGAGGAGGGCGGATTACTTGTGGTCAGGAGTTCAAGACCAGCCTGGCAAACATGGTGAAACCCCCGTCTCTGCGAACAGACCAAAATTAGTCCGGCAAGGTGGCGCATGCCTGTATTCCCAGCTACCTGGGAGGCTGAGGAAGGAGGATCCTTTGAACCCGGGGGGGGGGGGCGGAGGTTGCACTGAGCCAAGGTCTCACCATTGCACTCCAGCCTGGGCAACACAGCGAGGCTCTGTCTCAAAAAACTGAAAATAAAAAAGAATGATTTATTGAGTCTAGCTCGATTTCTACACCTCAGAAGTAGCAGAACCTGGCTCACAAAACACCTTGAAATTACTCTCTAACAGGATGCAAAACAGGGTGAAACCCAATTTTGATTAAAAAAAAAAAAAGTAATGAAAACGGGGGCAAGTCATGAAAGAAACAGTTGCATGTGTGTGAGATGGATGATGACGCAGCCTCTTTATGGGCACTGTTAAAAGCAGGAACGGGGAAATACGCATTGGGAAAAGTCACTTAACTAACATCACCTCCGTGGACACCGACGATTTTTGCAATTTTCAGAGCAGTTCATGCTCATCCCGTTAAGACCAGCGTTTAAAGGTGTCAAACCCCTCTGATCTGTCTTGACTGTTTGATAAAGAAAACTAATGTAAAAGGAGCTCATATATATATTTATATATATATATATATATATATATATATATATATATATTTTTTTTTTTTTTTTTTCTTAATAGATACGGAGTTTCTCCATGTTGGTCAGGCTGGTCTCGAACTCCTGACCTCAAGTGATCCGCCCACCTCGGCCACCTCAGATGATCTGTAACCCTCCCGTCCCCGGTGCCTCCCACTGCGCAGGCGCACTCCCATCCCCCAGCCCCGCCCGCTCACACACCTCCCAGCCTGCGGCTCGCGCCCCGCGGGCAGGCACTGCGCATGCTCACCGCAGGGGCGTCCGAAACGCCTCGTCTCCGCCTGCACGCAAGGCGCATGCTCCATGCCCAGGGTTCCCCTCCCCTCCCTGTGGCAGGCAGGCACTGCGCATGCTCACCGCAGGGGCGTCCGAAACGCCTCGTCTCCGCCTGCACGCAAGGCGCATGCTCCATGCCCAGGGTTCCCCTCCCCTCCCTGTGGCAGGCAGGCACTGCGCATGCTCACCGCAGGGGCGTCCGAAACGCCTCGTCTCCGCCTGCACGCAAGGCGCATGCTCCATGCCCAGGGTTCCCCTCCCCTCCCTGTGGCAGGCAGGCACTGCGCATGCTCACATCTCCGCAGCTCTACGGCCGCTTCGCCGCCATGGGCCGCACCTCTAAAAATCCTAACCGCCACAAGATCTCTGGCTGGATGCCCGCCACAGCCTCTCCCCCGTTCTCATCGCAGGCGCTTGGCCCCCACGAAAGCCTCCTGCAAAGGCTTCAAGGGCCGCGGGTGGCCAGCGGCGACGTCGCCTCGTGATGACGTCGTCGCGATGACGCGACGCAGTGACGTAACGCGGGCGCCCATGTTGAGGAGCGCGTCTGGCGCGCCCGTTTTGAAGCTGCCCTGAGCCGCAGCGCGGGCCGGACCGCGCCCCTTTTTAGGGTCCCCGCGCCCCGCGAGTCCGCGGCGTTGCCGGGGGCGTGGGTTCTGTTCCCCGCGCCGGGCCCCGCATCGCCGAGGTCCGTTTGAGCGGGACCGAAGCCCCCGGCGCGGGGCGGGGCGGGCGTCCTGGGGCGCCCCGGGCCCAGCCCCCGCCATGCCGCCCGGGAAGGCCCTGCAGCCCGTGCTGAAGATGAAGGTGGACGAGCTGTTCCTCTGCTGGCTCAGCGAGGCCAGCACGCAGCGGATGCTGCAGGACTGTCTGCGCCGGATCAAGGCGCCCGGGCGGGACCAGCCGGCCACGGGGGACGCGGAGCAGCCCGCAGCCCCGCCCGCCGCCCCCAGGCCCAGCGGGCTCGACCCCCCGGGGACCCCCGGCCCGGGCCCCGCGCTGCCCCTGGGCGCCGCCTGCGTCCCCAGGAACGCGCCCCACGCTCGAGGCACCCGTAGATCCGCAGGCACGAGGGTCGTAAGTTCCTCTTCCTTCTACTAACACCCTCGCAGGTGGCTCCGGCGGGAGAGCGTCAGACCCCAAAACGGTTTCATACCCGCGCCCGGCCGGATGAGCTGCTCTTCCCACAACCTCCTTCACACAGGTGACCGTTCCTGGCAGAAAAAATGAACGCAGCCGGGCGCGGTGGCTCACGCCTGTCATCCCAGCACTTTGGGAGGCCGAGGCGGGTGGATCACGAGGTCAAGAGATCGAGACCATCCTGGTCAACATGGTGAAACCCCGTCTCTACTAAAAATACAAAAAATGAGCTGGGCATGGTGGCGCGTGCCTGTAATCCCAGCGACTCAGAAGGCTGAGGCAGGAGAATTGCCTGAACCCAGGAAGCGGAGGTTGCGGTGAGCCGAGATCGCGCCATTGCGCTCCAGCCTGGGCAACAAGAGCGAAACTCCGTCTCAAAAAGAAAAAAAAAGAAAAAATGAACGCTCAGGCCACCCGCACCTTCCCATTTCCTCTGACCCCTGCCTACACCACTAGGTGCATACACACATACACTCACATAGGTAGGTACACACACATAGGTGCATACACACAGGTACATACACACATAGGTGTGTGCACACACAGCTGCATACACAGATACAGGTGTGCGCACAGGTGAATACACATAGTGCATACACATACATAGGTGCCTGGGACTCAGGCCCTGGCTGTGAGTGGCTGCCCTGTTCCCATCCGCCTGCTGCGTCCCCATCTCTGCTGCTCAGGAGGGAGCTGGGACGCGTGTTCTCGTGCGGCGAAGTCGTGTTACGGGACACGTGTTCTCGTGCAGTGAGCTCGTGTTACGCGTTGACCTCAGGAGCAGACAGCCCCCCTTGGAATGTGGAAGTTCCGACATCGGAGACAGAAAGCTGTCCAGATAAAGAGGAGACAGCACGTGTTCTTGTAACCCTTGGTTTTAAGAAACGGACTGAGTTTTGCGTTTAGTTGACCTACAATGAACGGTGCCGTTTTCAGCGTGCGGAGCGGCGTTCTTGCGAGCGAGCACATCACCCTACGTACGCAGCCCCACGGTTAAGATACAGACCAGCTAATTTTTTGTATTTTTAGTAGAGACGGCGTGCCTGTAATCCCAGCGACTCAGGAGGCTGAGGCAGGAGAATTGCCTGAACCCGGGAGGCGGAGGTTGCGGTGAGCCGAGATCGCGCCA